GATCTGGTGGGAGTCTCAAAGACAATGGCTAGAAGGGTCATACCAAGCAATTCACTGCACTGCAGATCTGTTGAGTGTGAAGGTGGCTGAAGCTGCATCTGTAAGCATTTGGAACTGTTGTTTTATAGGCACTTAAAAATTGTAGTATGTTTAGTTCTGGCTTTTCTCTTATTTTGTAGCCTTAGAATATCTACTCCTCCAAATTCAGCATTTATCAATTCTTTTTTTAAAATAATAAAAACTCCACCCAAATGTAACCTGAGTCTATTTCAGTCAGTATTACAAAAGCCAAGAAAATGAGGGCTTAGAGCAAATGAATTAAAAGAATGTTGGTTTTTATTTTCTTACCTGTAGTCTACTTAGATACGTATAAGTGAAGAGGTTAAAAAAAAGTACCAAAAAAACATTAAAAATTAAAAAAAAAAAAAAGTAGATCGCATAGCTTACTTAATTGCAGAATCCTTCTTGCTATTTTTTTTTCTTGTCTCTTCACCCTGGTTTCTCTTGGTTCCTTCACAACCTTCACATGTCATCTATCTTGCCTGTTTGTACTTGCTTTTAGTGCTTAAGGCACTTACCTGCTAACCAGAAGGTTGGTGGTTCAAACCTACCAGTCACCATACCTTAGAAGATTGGGCAATCTACTTCCATCGTGATACTGCCTCAGAAACCGAAGGAGGGGTCGCAATGAGTTGAATTTGGCAGTGAATTTGATTTTGGGTAAACTTCTTATCAGGAGCTCTGGTGGCCCAGTTGCCTAAGGCATTTGACTGCTAACCAGAATGTTGGCGGTTCAGATCCACTGGCTGCTTCATAGAAGGAAGATGGGGCAATCTACTGCAGTAAAGATTTTCTGCTTTGGAAACCCAGAGGGGGTTGCTATGAGTCGGAATGACAGTGAATTTGAGTTTTTTTATACTTCTTAATAGCCCTCAGAAATAATTAGATTTAGGACACACTCTACACTGGTATGGACTAATTAACATAACAATGAAAACCCTATTCCCAAGTGGGATCACATTCACAGGTTTACAAAAAACCAGTGGCCATCAAGTAGATTTGGACTCCTATCAACCGTATCAGAAGGAAGGTTGGGCAATCTACTTCCATAGTGATACTGCCTTGGAAACCCAAGGAGGGGTCGCTGTGAGTGGGTCCAACTCGATGGCACATAACAACAACAACATCAACCATATAGGACAGAGTAGAATTATCCTATAGGGTGAAACCTGTCTTGCTTTTGAAATGAGCATCTTCCTGCTCTCACCACAGCCATTTCTGCCCTGATCAGGTATGGTGCTGTCTGCCTGTGATATGTTGGGGGCTCAAGGGCATATTACTGCAGAGAATGAAACGTTTCCAGAGAAGCTTCAGATGATCCTGAAGACAGAAAGAGCTAATTGTAAAGGGAAAGAATGATACATTTGACTTATAAAATGAAAAACTTGAGTTTATCAAAATGTACCTTTAAAGAAAAGAGATAAAGATATTTAAATACATATAACTGACAGAGGATCAATTTCCATAATAGATATTTTAAAAAACAAAACAGAAAACTGTAAGTCAGTAAGAAAAAGACAAATAATTCAGTAGAAAAATGGACAAAAATTAAATCACTGAAACCAAAGAATAGTTCTTAGATCAAAAAATTGATCAGGAGTGGTGAGGGAGAAGATATAAATTATCTTTATCAGGAATGATAAGTGTCATAACTACAGATTTTATTGATATTAACAAGATAATAGAATATTTTGAACTTTATCATGGTAAGTTCTACAACTTAGATGAAATGGACAAATTCCTTGAAAGATACAAAATACCAAAGCTCACTAAAGAAGAAAGGATAACCTGAATAGCTCTGTCTACTAAACAAATTGAAACTGAGGTTTAAAACATTCCTATAGAGGGAACTTTAGACCCAGATAGCTTCACTAGTGAATTCTACCAAATATTTAAGGAAGAATTACTACCAGTTCTACACACACTCTTCCAAAAAACTGAAGAGGGTATAACATCCAAATCATTCTATGAGACCATTATAAGAAAAGAAAATAACCCTTTTGAAGCTAGGTATAAAAAATTGAACAAAATTTCAGCAGGCAGAAGCTAACAGTATGTTAAAAGGATAATACATCATGACCAAGCAGGGTTTGTCTGAAGAATGCAAGGTTGGTTTAACAGTAAAAAGTTAATCAATATAATTCACCATATTAACAAACTAAAAAGAGAAAAAAAAAATCTGATCATCACAATAGATGCAGAAAAAGTATTCAACACAATCTAATATCCATTCTTTATGTAAAACAAACAAACCCACAAACAAAAACAACGAACTAGGAATCGAAAAAAACTTCCTTAGCCTGATAAAGGGCAACCTCTAGCTAGCATCATAACTGATTGCTTTCCCTCTAAGATCAAGAAATCTTAAAGCAGCAAAACTGTCTTTATTTGCAGATGACATTGAATTCTCTTTTTAGCTCTGGTGGTACAGTGGTTAAAGCATTGGGCTGCTAACCAGAAGATCAGCGATTCGAACCTACCAGGTGCTCCATGGGAGAAAGATGAGACAGTCTGCTTCCATAAATATTTACAGCCTTGGAAACTCTTTAGGGCAATTCTCCTCTCCTACAGGGTCGCTGTGCAATCCACTTGATTGTATTGGGTTTTATTTTTTTTGTTATTGTTTTGTTATCCATCAAATGTTGGAGCAGAATAAAGTCACACAAAGGACTCAGAAAAATGATCTCCTGAACACCTTTTAAGAATTCTGGAAATGTAAGCTAGTGAAACAAAGAGTAAACCATGAAAGAGGAAAATTAGATGATCCTAGAAGGAATGGCTCTCACCTCACATAAGCTGCAGTGGGTGGATATGGCAGGCCTGAAGGACATTCTAGATCTAACCATGAGTGGGAGCCTAGGAGACAAAGGGGAATGTACACCAGAGGGCATAAAGTTCAAACAAAATTGATGCTGTGGTGAAGACAGAGGAAGACAAAAGGTGAAACCTGCAGAAAAAGAAGCCCTGGTGGCACGGTGGTTAAGTGCTTGGCTGCTAACCAAAAGGTTGGCAGTTCAAACCCACCAGACACTGTGGCAGGAAGGTGTGGCAGTCTGCTTCCATAAAGATTATACCCTTGAAAACCCTATAGGGCAGTCCTACCTTATCCTGTAGGTTGTAATTAGTTGGAATTGACTCAGTGACACAGAACAACAAACCTGCAAAAGAGGCAGCCATCTATTTAAGAAAGCCAGGGCACATACGTGAAGCGAACTGAAGTGAACCATTAGTTTAAGCAATGTGATGGGAATGTAAGAAAAAAAAAACAACCCATTTTACCTTGTTGTTGGAAGACTTCTAAATAGGCCCAGAGATTGGGGTAATGCCAACCTGTAGAAGAAAATAGGCCAGAGAGGAGGTGTTTCTGTTACCCACTGCCACTCTGACAGGAACATACCACAGATGGGATGGCTTGAATAAACAGGAGTTTATTCTCTTACAGTTCAGGAGGCTAGAAGTCCAAGTTCAAAGTGCCAGGCTCTAGAGGCTATGTGAAAGCCCCTCGACCTTGGGCTTCAGCTCTGCTTCTTGTTCCTGGCCCACTGAAGCTAGAGGCATCTCTTCACTCAGGCAGCTACTGGCTGCTGAGGCTACAAGCCCAAGGTCGACAAATAAAATGGCACAGTTCTGATGTTACGAAACCACACGGCAAGCCATTATTTCAAGTCCATTGTAAGTCCCAAGGGTGCCAGAATATGTCAGGCTGCTGAACAATGACACAGCTACATGCTGGGTCTGAGCGTGCCATAAGCTAGAGACCATTACCAAAGCTGCTGCTTATATACAGGAAGCAGACCACATACCCAAAGCAGCTACTCAGCTGCTCCAGTAGATTCCACCACGGAGTTAATTACCATTCTCACCATGGGGAATAACTAATCCAGCTGCCCAGCCACTTAACCAAGCCCAGCCAAGTTGTCACACAGACTGAACTACCACAGGAGGATACTCTTGGTCTGGCATATTGACATATTCATACTTATCACCAGTTTTCAGATTATGGATATTGAAAATATAAAAGTAGAAATGTAAACTATGGAGAGAAAGTGAGAGGGGAGTTGTTGCATAGAAATTGCATTCACAATGTCATGAGACAAAGTATGTGAGCTGCTATGTGGAAAGTGAATTTGCTCTGTAAACTTTATCCCAAATCATAATAAAAAATTTTTAAAAAATGAAGAAATGTAGCTGACAGAATGTAGAGTTTGGCAGAGGGCAGCCTACACTCTTTTTTAACCATTTCCTTGAACTAGGTTTCTAGGTATTGTTTGTTTTTTAACTTCTTTGGTAATGATCCAGAAGAAATTATGACCAGCCTTTTTGTTAAAAATGGACACAATAAACTGTTTTTCATGAGCACAGCATGGAAAACAAAGATTTGCAGCTTAGAAATGCCAGTGGTTGGGTGGGGTGGAAGTCTGTGTGGTTAGGCTAGGATGGGCTCAGTGTGGGCAGAACATGTAATTTTGGGACTGTCTTAGAGGGAGAAGTGTTGATGTCTCTCTGGGTGACATTGTTGGGTAAAAGGAAACCAGGTTTAGAGGAGGACACAGACAGGAATTGGCAGCATCATAAGACAGTTTAAATAAGTAGAGTATTAAAATAACATCAGGTGTTGATGTCACTTAGAGAACACAGTTCTTCTGAATAGTATGGAATCAATATTTGAAAGTGAGATGGTTAGAAAAGAAAATGGGAAATAGATGTCTGTTTATTCAAGATCAAAGAATAAGGAGCAGATATGGAGTGGAAATAGGGGGTCAGCTCTCTTCTGGGAGATGAATGATGTCCACTGGTTGGTCATTCATTGTTCCCACATTGGTCTCTAGTTGGTTGGTTCAGGCCAAGTGATGTTCATCTGATATGCAAGAGTGTGTGACAGTCTGTGCTATGTGGACCCAGCCTGTGTGAATATTGATTTGCTGCCTTTTTGTCAACAGGTGTGGTGTCAGTTTGTTTTGAGGGGGACAGTGATGGTTACATCAACCTGGTGGCCTATCCTTATGTGGAGAGTGAAACTGTGGAGCAGGATGACACACCAGAGCGGGAGCAGCCTCGGCGCAAACACTCCCGCCGGAGTCTGCACCGGTCAGGCAGTGGCAGTGACCACAAGGAGGAGAAAACCAGCCTGCCCCTTGAGACCTCAGAGAGGTAAGAGCGTGGTGAGCAGGGCTTCATATGTGTGTGTGATCCTGCTGGCACAGGCATTCAGGATATTGCTAGAGTCTTGACACATTATGGGAAGCACAGCTCAAGGTCAAGGGAAGATGGCTGTCATTGTTGGGCCATCTCCACAGGTATAGCCAGCCCCTGTGGAATACCCACATTGCTCCAGTGACACCTCATTCTGGGCATAAGCTATAGTTGCTTGAAAACAAATAAAGCCTTACAGCCTTTTGTAAGCAGCGATTCCCTGTGCTGGTGACAACAGGGTCGCTGGCATAAGGCTGACATGCATCAGTCCACTGTGCTGCTCCAGCTTTTTGCTGTCCACAGGAGAGAGCCAAACTATATGGGATCACATTGACAGTAGCAACTCAAAAGACTAGATAGGAACCTCAGGGGGGCAGTGCATTCATATTCATGGGGGAGGAACAGCTTGGAAAAGGAGGGTGAGAATGGTTACACAATTCGAAAAATGTAATCAGTATCACTAAATGGTACATGTATGCCAAGAAATTTGGAAGACAATACCTGGCCAATCAGCTGGAAGAGATCCATGTTTTTGCCCATTCCAAAGAAATGATCCAGGAGAATGTGGAAATTATCAAACAATATCATTAATACCACAACACAGTAAAACTCTGCTGAAGATAATTAAAAAATGGTTGCAGCAGTACATTGACAAGGAAGTTGAGAAGTTCAGAAGTTCGAGCTGGTTTCAGAAAAGGATGTGGAACAGGGGTTTTCATTGTTGATATCAGATGGATCTTAGCTAAAAGCAGTGAATACCAGAAACAGGTTTACTTGTGTATTAGTGACTATACAATGGCATTAGATTGTGTGGATCATGACAAATAATGGATAATATTTCTAAGAATAGAAATTCCAGAAAAATATGCTCATGTATAACCTGCACATAGAGCAAGAGGCAGTTATTTGAACAGAACAAGGGGATCCTGCATGGTTTAAAATCTTGTGGCTCAAGACTGTATCTTTTACCATACTTACTCAATCTGTATGCTGAGCTAATAATCCAAGAGGCTGGGCTATATGAAGAAGAACACAGTATTAGGATTGGGGGAAGACTCAATAACAATCTGCAGTGTGCAGATGATACAACTTTGCTTGCTGAAAATGAAGAGGACTTGAAACGCTTACTGATGAAGATCAAACACTATAGCCTTCAGTATGGATTACACCTCAATAAAAAGAAAACTATAATCCCCACAAATAGACCAATGAGCAACATCATGATAAATGGGGAAAAGATTGCAGTTGTGAAGGATTTCATTTTGCTTGGATTCATAATCAACACCTGTGAAAGTAGTAGTCAAGAAATCAAATGGTGTATTGCATTGAGCATATCTGCTACAAAAGACCTCTTTAAAGTATTAGACAGAAGGTTCAAGATGGCGGAATAGGCAGACAGACTGCACAGACCCTCTTCAACAAAGAAAAGGGGAGCCAATTAACACAGATACTGAAGATAATTCTGGAGCCCTGAGCTTTGAAGGCAAGGATATAGAAGTGGACTAAACTCAATTAGTAGAACTTGCATGGTAACACCAAAAAAGGAGACATATGGAGCTGTCGTCTGTCAGCAATCCTGGTGGCACAGACAGGATATTGCTGAGTGGTCTTAGGACCTAAAAATTAACTTAAAAATCGGCCCTGCTAGCCAGGGGCTGCACGGAGGACTGCAGTGGTGGCTGGTGAATAAAAGGGGAAGCAACGAAGTAGAAGGTGGGCTGAGCTGTGGACTTTTGCCTGTCCAGCCATTTTGAATGTTTACAAGCAGTTCGGCTATTGTGGATATTTAAAGCAACAGTGTTCTCCCAGACTCCAGGGACTTAAGAACAGGCTCCACTTGCTGGGAACCACAAGGACATTCTGGACACCAACAACTAGAAGGTGCGATATTCCTCTTGTTACTGTTATATTCCACACCCTCTTGGTAGATGGAGGAGCGGCGATCCCTCACTCCCACCCACCTTCTGGGCTGGCAGGAATTCATCCAGTTTGTGTGCTCGGATGGAGCCTGGGTGCCCTGCCCTACCCTGCCCAGCATTTTTGTTTGTTTGTTTTTGTCTGCTTTAAAATTATTATTACTATCCTTTTTATTATTATTCTTTATTCTTCCCTTCCCAGGTTCTAGTTTTCACCTTTTTCTCTCTTCCCTGTTCCTGGTTCCCATTTTTTTCTTTCTTGTGATTTCCTTGTTTTTCTTTTTGCATTTTTCACATTTTTTTTCTTCATTATTCTCCTACTGTAACTTTTCTGTCTTATTGCCCTGTGTCCAGATATTGTGAGGTTTTTTCCTTTCTTTTCTTTTTTGGTTATTGTTCCTGTGTGTTTACACAGTGTGTTTTTTGTCCACTTGCTTTTACTTTTTTGATGGTTATTTGATTGTTGTTTTTGTTTAACTGAGTGGGAGACAGCAACAGTGCCCATATGACACAACTACACCTGCACCTCCTGCAGCTCCACTTACTGAGAGCCACTACTTCCTTCTCTACCAACTGGCCAATGATAAATGACCACCGAGAAGACCCTGACTTACCCTTAACTGTTTGTCATAAACAGTTAACAGAGATCTAAATACAACAATGTCA